GTTGATGTTGATGAAATGTTAATGTTACCAGCTAGAATTTTACCACTACCAAAAATCATATATAAATCATCACAAGGTGCTCAAAGTGATGTTATTGAACGAGTACAAATTGGCAAATGGTGGTTAAATAATCGTTTTGATAAAACATGTGAAATACGTACATGGCTGTTGTTCTTGTTAGTGAACATGAACCAGATAATCGACAAATTCGTTTAACAAAAGATTTTTCTCAAAGAATTTCACAGCTTTTAATTGAGTTTCTTAGACATCACTAAAAAATAACTTTTTGTTCTTTTATTCAAGGCTATGTCAAAATATGGTATTCGATTTAATTCATCACCTATTGAAAAATTTGATGCAGCTGTACCACAAACAATTTTAGCTCGTATGAATGAACTTAAAATGCAAGAATATAAAGTTATTATTTATATTCTTGATCAGGTTGGTGATGACATTTATCATCTGATTAAATATTTTGGAAATATTAAAATTGGTAAGATTTATTTATATTATATATGAGAAAATGTCTACTCCGATTAAATAAGCAGATGAATACATAAGAAAAATCGTGTGAAATTTATGGTTTATTAACACATGTTAGTGTTTTCTTCAGAAAACATAAATACATGACTCTCGATAGAGATATCTCGACCGAAACATTAGACTGTACAGTATTGATACTAGAATTAAAGTTATGTGTTTGACGATTCTGTATGAGTTATCTTATAGACCTTATTGATGGAGACAAAATTCTGTAAAATTGTTTTGTGAAACACGAACTAACAGAACATTGAAGTATAAGGATAAATATTGGATTTCTTCCATAGGCAACGACCGACATCTTAGTAATGAACTATCGCTTGACTGTATTCATAACTGATGAAGAAAGAGAATAACAAGTATATATTTGAACTCGGACCCAGATTCCATTTATTGATCATCTTTCAAACTCGGATCCGGATCTGAGTTCCACTTTTAATACTTTCAAGTAGGTTTATTCTTATCTGAATCTGATAGTCGCTTTGCATGCATGAAATGATTTTCCCCCTGTTTGTATTCGTGAATAACACACTTTTACATATTTATCAGGCAATTGAACCGATGATCCTATAATAATCAAGTTAGAATTGCCTTGTACTCCTAACGAAGGGCGTCAAATTTAAAATTTTCGGATTCGAATCTGAGTGAGAGCCAATCGAGTCTTGATCTTACCTGACGGATTCGAATCCTGATGCAATAATTTCATAGTGATCTTGTGGTAAATAACCTATTGATTTAAATAATACATGCTCAGTTTCTTTCTTTCGTTTTCATATTCTGATTATAAAAAAAAAAAGAATTATTTTTAAGGTATGGTAACGCAGTGTATACGTTTCGATCAACTTGTGTCAAATAGTGATCCGCGTGAAATGGATATGTATATTCAAGTAAATTCTTTTTATTTGTTTTTTTATTTAATTCTGTTAAACAAATTTCTTAAAAGAATTTGGTAGAAAAATTCAATGCCAGATTACGTGGTGTTAATCAACTTGTTTCATTAATGCCAGCATTAACATCACCATCAGCTCGATCTGATATATTTATGTGTTTTGGTATTGGTTGTACTCATATAACATGTTCACATGTACGACCATCCACTGCTGCTTTTTGTTGGATCAAAAGATTCTACAAATACACAATATGCTGCT